AATTCAGTCCTATAAGTTAACCCTATAGGAATTAATATCAATCATATCAGTCATATTTTCAGGAATCAGTATAAATAAGAATTAGGCAGGTGATTATCATATCATAAAGTCTTCACTTCCTGTCTATCGACAATCATATCATATCAATTTATCTTATATTGCCTCCTTTATTTTATTTACGTTACACCACAAATCTTATTTTAAAGGAAAGCCGTCGACTCCTATTTATAGAGCAACATAGCTCTATTCAACCCTAATCAGTCAAACCATTTAGATTTCTTACTTACATACAATTCACGATATAAATATACATAATAAAAAATATTAATGTCACACTCAATATTATGTTCATTATATCATATTAATGCATATAAAATTTGTATATAAACTAAAATTACTGGAATCATAAGAAAATTAGTTTTTTTTTCACATGTATGTGCCCATAATAGCTAGATTATAACAAGCATGCATGTTATATACTAATATGAAAAGATTTAAATAATTATTTTTTAAAATTTTGAATTTATCCAAATTTTACCAAAATTAGGATATTTCCCCCCAAATTACAAAAATACCTATAAAAGTTCAATATGATCATAGTAATCAATATGTGTAAGATGATTAAAACTATAACATACTAAAAGTCAGATGGTGGACTGAAAATTTATAAAAATTTGAGGATATATCAACCTTTGTAATTTTAGACAAATTAAAATTCATAAAATACAAAATTTATGAAATTATTGAAATAGAGGTAGGTAATTAGTAGCACACCTGAGATGAAGAAAAATTTTCCAACTAGATCGACTGGCAAAAATCATACTGGAATTCAAATAATTTTTCTTTTCTTTTCATCTCTTTTTGTTATCTAATTTCCAGCCTTCCGCTTTTTCAACATTGAAGAATGAAGAAAATAAAAATAATAAATTGAATTGTATGAACTTGTTTAATGGATAAAGATATTTTAAATAAAATATCTTAAGGATGTTAAATATAATTAATGACATCGTTTTAGTTTTACGGTAAAAATTATATAAATATCTTTCATATCTTCAAATTGAGCTCTAAGAAGTTATAAAAAAAATCATAATTTGTTAAGCTATGTCTATAAAAACTGCTGATGAATCGATTTTGCAAACGGACACTTAACAACCTAACAAAAATATTTTGTACGACCATGTGTCAATTTTCTATATTTCTATAAAATAAGGAGTAAATTATTTAAATGAAGAATTAATAATATCTTATTATGGTAAAGACAGTATGCAAATCGGACTTATAACGACTTCGAAAAATTTTTTATTTATTATTTTTTAAGTCAAAATTCATCTTGTGACAATTTAAGGTTTTATAGGTACGACTACAAAATTAGGTCTAATCCTAATGCAATGGCCATGATGTGTTTTGTTTTGATGATGCATGTGGAGGTCCAATAATGAAGTTAGGAAGTGGTGCGAGAGAAGGTTCAAATGTATTCCAATAGGTGGTGATCAAACGAATTGTTTTCCACTTACGATAGTCAAAAGCATGGTCTGATTGTATAGTCAAAGGTGGTCAATTATGATATGGTCAAGCAAAGGCCTAAGGACAAGTTCAATGTTTGTATGGATAGAGTCATAGCTCTTGGTCACACTCTAATATGAGAGTGAGACTATTTATACATATATTTTTGAGTAGCATGCTCTATAAAAAGTGGATCACAATAGAACAATCCTAAAGTGACTTCAATATCTCTTTAATCATAGATTATTCTTCAATTATAATATCTCTCT